CAGGGCCCCAGCTGCGAGGTCGGGGCACCCGCCCTGGACCAGATGAAGACCTGCGGGCCTGGTGTGTGGGGGCAGTGGGGCGACCTTTCGAAACCAGGCCTGCTGGCTCCTGGCACGGCTGCCTTCTACAAGCGCCGGATCCCCCCACAGAGCTGGGCTCAGACAGGAGTCACCTGTTAGCATCTGTTAGGGCATCTCCTCGCCGCCCTCCCCTCTCCCGTCCCCTTTTCCCTCCTCCCCTCCCCTGGGCCTGTTCTGGAAGCAGAGCTGACAAGCTTCTCAGGGTGTCCCCTGGGGTTAGACTCGCTAATCCCCAGCCCTCTGCTGCTGGCGGGTGGGGGAGGCGGCTGAGACCCAGCCGGGGTTTCAGGGCTGAGGGGTTGTGGCAGAGTCCCCCTGTGTGATTCCTACAGCCCCTGGGGGGGGGGGCGCCTCCTCCATCTGAGAGTTAAATTGGGGAGGAGAAGGCCGGAAGGTGGAAACACATCCTGAGGCCTAGAAACATCTTTACATACATAAGAGGCCTGGGGTGCAGCCCGGAAGGGGAGCGGGCGCCAGGCGTGCCTCTAGAGGGAAGCAGGGCCCTGGGGTGGGGGCCGGAGGGCCCCCCCGCTTACCATCTTGGGGAAGGAGCTGGTGATGGGCAGGGACCGGGAGGAGCTGGGGCTGACGTCCATGCCTTCTTCTTCCTGTCCCCGCCCTGTCCTCACCACGGGCAGGAGAGGCCGAGGGGAGAGGGGAGGGACAGGGAGTTGAGCCCCTTGCGGGGGGAAGGGGGAGCAGGGGGTGTCCTGTCTGGGGGCTCAGCTCCTCTCTCCCACGGGGCTTGCTCTCTCCTCTCCTGACCCCGTCCCACTGTGGGCTCCTGGGGGGAAGGCTGGGCGCATTCACCAGCAGCCCCTGACCTGGCCAGGCCCGGCGGCTCAGTCAGGGTCCCCGGCCCCCAGGTAAGGTACTGTCCCCTGGAGCAGGGAGTCCCTCCCCTCCCCCTCCCTCAGGGGCTGCTGGGCCTTGCGCACGCTTCTCGCGGACAGACAGACAGACAGACAGAGGATGCACTGGGGCTCCGGGGCCCCACAGGGAGGGGTGGTGGACACGACGAGGCTGCTCCTGCCCTCCTGGCACAGTGACCACTAATTACCAGGTGGACACCCCGCCCCGGCCCCGAGGCCGGTCCCAGGTGTCCCCGCAGGGGCGAGCGCTCAGCACCAGTGGGTCCCCTCGAGGTGCTGCCCTGGGTCCGTGGTGCAGGGGACGGTGGGGACCCGTGGGCACTGTCAGGCCCTCACACGACATCGGCTCCCTCCCTCCCTCTCCCTCCTGCCCTCACACGCTCCTTCCTCATCCGGAGCCACGGACACGCTAGACACGGAGCCCGGCACACGGAGGTCGGGGAGCCCGCCCCTGCCGTGCCCGTCGCTCCCCCATCAGGAGGGGGCGGCTGCACTCACACCTGCCTGTTGAATTTGGAAATAATGCCCCCTCCCTCTCTCTCTCTCTCTCTCTCTCTCTCTCTCTTACTACACTTATTTATTTATTTAATATTTCTTTATTGATTTCAGAGAGAGGAAGGGAGAGGGAGAGAGAGAAACATCAATGATGAGAGAGCATCATTGATTGGCTGCCTCCTGCACGCCCCACACTGGGGATCGAGCCCGCAACCCGGGCCTGTGCCCTGACCAGGAATCTAACTGTGACCTCTTGGCTCATAGGTCAATGCTCCACCCTGAGCCACGCCGGCCGGGCCTCTCCTACTACATTTAGAGGAAACGAGGGGACTGGTCAAAACGCACAGCGCATGGTGCCCGTCCGTCTGTAGGCTGTGACGGGGGGCCTGTCTGGGGCCTGAGACCCGCAGCAGAAGCACAGCCGCGTCCTC